GAGAATACCTGTCAAGGTAATGCCGAGATGAATGGTAATACGGAGAATATCCCGTCAGAGGTGAGGGAAGATCTTGTAGGTGATCTGGGGGAGCAAGACCTCCGAATATGTAGGAGAAAGATGACCTGTGATAGTGCTGATGGGAGGGTGAGTACTGTGGAGACCGTCTATGGTAAGAGGTAGGGGGGAATCCCATGGTGAGAGAGAACTGAGAATACTGAGGCTGGTGATGACAGTTGCGGGGAGAAGGCAGCTGGTTCCGGGCTAGGAGGAGGTATAGTTATCCTCCTAGATTTGTGAGTGGCCTTGCATGTCCTGGGAGATGCTCGTGTGTGGGTACAAGGCATTCTTTGTTCGGCTGTGGGGAGTGTATGTGCTGGCAGTGCCATCTGAGTCGGCTCATCGGCAAAGCCTGGTGCCGATTCCATCGGTGCTGATCAGTGTGCCGTCATGATGGTGAGCGGTGCGGAAGATGCCGGTGCCGTGTGCGTCGGTGCTGAAGTGGCCGATACCTGCGGTTTCGGTGATTTTGTCGCCCGTGCCGGGAGGCTTGGTGCCGCTGGTGTTGGTACCATGGGGCTCAGCACCATTGGACTAGATGCCAAGGAAGAGGAGGCCAAGGGACTAAAGGGCGGTGCCCAAGTCAAGAGTCTTGATGCTGAGACTGGTGCCGTTGGGCACTCCTTCAGCGCCGATCTGCTCAATGCCGATGACTTTAGTCAGCCCAGGTGCCGAGTCGTGCCGGGAGGCTTGGTGCCGCTGGTGTTGGTACCATGGGGCTCAGCACCATTGGACTAGATGCCAAGGAAGAGGAGGCCAAGGGACTAAAGGGCGGTGCCCAAGTCAAGAGTCTTGATGCTGAGACTGGTGCCGTTGGGCACTCCTTCAGCGCCGATCTGCTCAATGCCGATGACTTTAGTCAGCCCAGGTGCCGAGTCAGCTATGACTCGTCTTATGTTTTCAAGACTGGCTGCTGGAAGATGAGCCAGATGTACCTGGCTAGTCGCGTATACTTATTCTGTTGGTCATTACCGGTTTACTCACGGTCTTAGAGGCTCCCAATGGCTTGACCTCAGGAGGCTGTAGAGCCTTGTTAAACAGCAGCATTTTCAGGTGCATTTCGAGGTCCCATCTCGTGTGTGCCGTAAGCTTGTGGCACTTCTGAGGCATGTGACTCTCACCCAAGCACCTAATATAGTTGTTGTGGCCGTCCGAAACTGCTTCTAGAAAGGAGAGTCTTATGCCACTGAAGACTAAGGGAAAGTTTCTCCCCTTCCACATGATCCTGAACTCACTTGTAACGTTGCAAGACCCCAGCAAAGGTAGCATCAGAATGTTTTAAAATGACCTCTGAGCTTCAGTTCACTTGGGTTCCAAGTAACAAAGGCACCGTATTTCACAGATTGACAAGTAGATCTAAAGGTTAAAACCTCTTCCTCAAAATAGTTTTTCTATAAACATGTGTGATGAAGGAAAACTTCATAGTATGGTGTGATGGTTTTATTAGTACTCATTTGGAATGATCTCCCACCTTCTCTACCCCCAGAATATGCTAACCTAAGGCTAGCTATGAGAATAAAACTGGATACTTAATAATTTCTTATAATAAAATATTAAACTGTAAACTATTTAAAGAGTCCTGTATGTGGAGCAAAGCCCATATAGGTTGAATCTCTAGTCCAGCAATATCCATGGGCTGGCATGATTTCATTTAGCCTGATGTCCACTTTTCATGGGGTAGCCACATCTCCTACGGTCCCATAAAGTTTGCTTATAATCACCAGTCCTGGCTCTCAGTATTCTGTTGGTTGTTTAGCTATAATTCACCCCAAATGCCTTCTAAGAGTCCAGTAAGCAATGGAAGTGTTGGTAATGCCACTAGGCAATACTGACCTCCCATGGTTCAGCAAATTTTCTGGTTCGGCATCGGTCAGTTCTCAAGGGTGACATACTAGAGAGATTCAACCTGTACCTCCGTTTTACATGTAAAGACCTTGCAATTTCTTCAGCACGTGTTCTGCTCAATTGAATGTGCCCACAATCACATTTCAAGTTGGCAGAAGAATGGAGAACAGAATCCAAGAAGCTATTTCCCAGTCCTTTTGCCACCAGACCACAACAGCCATCACTACCTCCCTATAAGAAGATTAAAAGCGAAGTACGTAATTTAAAACGGGGTAAACTGCAGGAACAATGAGCCTAGACACTGATGTTCTACAATATACTCAAGATAGATTAGACAGGTTTTAGAGTTGGTTGAAAGTCTGACCAACAATTTTGCATTTAAAAGGAAAAAAGAACAGTATTTTTAACCCGTTCCAATATAGTGCTAAGTTATAGTAGAGTTAATTTAATAAATAAGCAATCCAAAAACCAAACCACATTTTAAGTGGTAGCAAAGCCTCACATCCTATAGGTAATTAGCTCTTACCATGTTCATACCGACTTTCCTTTTTGGCCTAATTA